CAGCCGGGCGCTTCGGGGCGTCACGACCTCCACCTGGAGCCCCCGCGGTGCTGCCGGATCTGTGGGGGGGGGGCCACTCTCATGGGTCTGGGGGTCCTGCCCCACAGCCCTCTCCAGAGACTTCCAGACCTCCCAGACACCCCCCAGAGACCCACAGACCCCCACCCAGGCACCCAGAGACTCTGCAGCATCCTGCAGATCCTAGAGACCCCACAGACCCCATGGTGCCCATAGACCACACAAATCCCCCATAGATCCCATAGTGCCCCATAGACTCCATGACACCCTATAGATCCACATAAACTCACCCCATAGACCTCATAGGGCCCCATAGACCTCATAGACCCCATAGAACCTCCCCATAGCACCCAGTAGACCCATAGACACCACAGAACCCTATAGACCCCATAGTCTCCATAACACCCCACAGATCCCCATAAACTCCCCCCGTAGACCTCATAGAGCCCCATAGACCCTATAGCACCCCATAGACCCACAGTTCCCACAGAACCCTTATAGACCCACAGTGCCTCATAGACTTCATAACACCCACAGATCCCCATAAACTCCCCCCATAGACCCCAGAGCACCTCATAGATCCCACAGAACCCCCAGAGACCCCCACAGGTCCCAGAGACCCCCACAGGACCCCATAGACCTTGAAGATTCCCCTACAGACCCACAAATTCCATAGAGTCCTGTGGAATCCATAGCACCCCATAGACCCTCCCCATAGACCCCATCACAGACATCCCCCACAGAGCCCCATAGAGCCCAATAGACCCCTTAGCACCCCATAAACCTCCCATAGACCCCAAAGCTCCCCCATAAACACATAGATCCCATAAACACCCACAGTGCTCCATAGAGCTCCAAAGTGCGCCACAGACCCTATAGATCGCCTCTGAACCCCATGGCACACCACAGACCCCACCATACCCAATAGAGCCCCACAGAACCCATAAACCATATAAATCCCAGAAGCGTCATAGATCCTGGAGACTTATATAGACCCCCTCCCCCCCAGACCCCCTCAGACACCCCCCATAGACCCCATAAACTCCGTAGCACCCCCAAAAGCTCCACAGGGCACCTCGACAGGGCTCACAGATGCAATAGGACCCCAGAGGTGCCATAGACCAAATAGCACCTCAGAGATGCCATAGCACCCCAGAGACCCCAGAGACCACCCCCCCCCCAGGGGAAATGGAGATGTCAGGCTCACACTAAGGAACATGGAGAAATCGGGGACCCACAGCCACTCTCACCTGTGACAGTGTCGATGGAGATGGGGCCCAGGCGCTTCTGACCCCACACCCCATACACATTGAACTTGTAGTGGTGGGATGGCAACAGCTCAGGCACCGTCACCGTGTGGGACTCGCCGTCCACGGGCAGCACCTGGGGCTGCCCTTGTGCATCCTTGTACTGCACCGTGAAGGAGTCAAAGGTGCCCTCGGGCACCGTCCACTCCAGCTGGACGGAGTTGGGGGTGATGTGGGAGGCTGTGAGCTCTCCCAGGCGGGGCTGGGAGGGTGCTTCCATCGCCGATGGAGCCAGGGCTGCAACAGAGAGGGCACAATGTAGGGCACGTTGGAGACAGACATCCACCCACCCATCCTTCCATCCATCCCTCTTTTCATCCATCCGTCTATCTAATCACCCACCCATCATCAACTCATCCAGCCAGCCACATACCAATCCATCCATTAGTCCATCCATCCCTCCAGGCCCCCATCCAGTCCATCACCCATTTCTCCATTCATCACTCCATGAATTCCTCCCTCCCTCCCCTGTCCATCCATCCATCTATCCAACCCTCCATTCATCCTGGAACCCATCCATCCAATCTTTATATAATGCCACTTGTGAACCCAGTCATCCGCCACCCATTTATCCATCTGTTCATCCATCAAGTCATTCATCCGTTCATCAGTCTCTTTAAGCATCCAGACATTTGTCCATCCATCCTTCCACCCAACCAGCTGCCTTTCCACCCATGCATCCATCTAGCCGTGCAGCCACACTCCCATTAGATCAGCTTTTGTCTACTCATCCATTCCTACATCTATTTATCCATCCATTTCTCAGTCCATTGTTTCACCCATCCATCCATTGCTTTGTCCTCCCAACTATCTACCCATCCGGCTGTACAATCATCAGTCCACTCATTCATCCGTCATTCCAGTCATTCTATTGCCCATTTCTCCCTGCAACTTTTTGCACCTCAGTCTTTGATCCCATCCATCCATCCATCCATCCATCCATCCATCTAACTATACATAAACCCATTCATCCATCCATCTGTCCAAGCAATCCCTCATCCAACCACCCAACCAGGCCATCATCCATCCAACCACCCATCCATCTGTCCAACCTTCCAACCTTGCATGCACCCACCCCTCCATCCATCCCCACGTCTGCACCAAAGATCTGCTCCTACTCTCCTGCAAACCAAGGGTCCCAGAGGGACCGAGTTGGTGCCCACAGCCATCCTCACCTGTGACAGTGTCGGTGGAGATGGGGCCCAGGCGCTTCCGACCCCACACCCCATACACATTGAACTTGTAGCGGCGGGATGGCAACAGCCCAGGCACCGTCACCGTGTGGGACTCGCCGTCCACGGGCAGCACCTGGGGCTGCCCTTGTGCATCCTTGTACTGCACCATGAAGGAGTCAAAGGTGCCCTCGGGCACCGTCCACTCCAGCTGGACGGAGTTGGGGGTGACGTGGGAGGTTGTGAGCTCTCCCAGGCGGGGCTGGGATGGCGGTTCCTTCTCCAGCAAGGCCACAGCTGGGGCTGCGACACAGAGGACACAATGTAGGGCACGATGGGGACAGACAGCCACCCAGCCAGCCACTCAGGCAGCCTTACACTCATCAACCTGTCCATCCATCCATCTATCTAATCACCCACCCTGCTATCAAAGCAGACAATCACCTACCCGTCCTTCCACTCAACCTTCTGTCCATCCATATAACCATTCACCCACCAATCAACCTGCCCAAGCATCCACCTTCCCAATAATCCAGTTGATTCTCTACCCATCTTTTCCTCCATCCATTTACCCATCCATTTCTTATCCATTACTCCATACATTCATCCATCCATTCATTCACCAAATAACCCAACTTTCCATGAACCTTCTCCTATCCATCAGGCCTTGAGTCCATCCCTCCAATGAACTATCCAGTCATCTAAGCATTCTTTGATTCCTTCAGCCAAACAATCAACCAAGCAATCCATCCATTCTTTCATCCAATTATCAATCCAAACACCCATCCATCCTTCCATTCTTCCACTCAACCATGCATTTATTATACTGTGCCATCAGTGAACCAGTCACACACTCATCCAAGCATCCAACCAATTATCCATTCATCCATCTATCCATCCATCCATCCAGTCACCTGAACCAGCAACACACTCATCCAACCAGTCATCTTTCCATCCATCCATCAGTTCAACCACACACCCATATCCCCAGTCCTCCAACCTTACATGCACCCATTCCTCCATCCATCCCCAAGAGAGCACCCACAACTTGTTCTCGTTTCTCAGAGAGCCCAGGAGGACTAGGATGAGCCCTGCCAAGGCTCCTGCCCCACTCCTACATCAGGGCACAGAGTGGATGAGGATAATGCCCACGGCCATCCTCACCTGTGACAGTGTCGGTGGAGATGGGGCCCAGGCGCTTCCGACCCCACACCCCATACACATTGAACTTGTAGCGGCGGGATGGCAACAGCTCAGGCACCGTCACCGTGCGGGACTCGCCGTCCACGGGCAGCACCTGGGGCTGCCCTTGTGCATCCTTGTACTGCACCGTGAAGGAGTCAAAGGTGCCCTCGGGCACCGTCCACTCCAGCTGGACGGAGCTGGGGGTGACGTGGGAGGCTGTGAGCTCTCCCAGGCGGGGCTGGGAGGGTGCTTCCTCCTCCTCCTCCGGCGGGGCTGGGGCTGCAACACGGAGGACACAATGCAAAAGGGAGGCACATGGGGATTGAAATCCTCCCCTCTGTCCTTCCATCTCTCTGTCCAACTGCTCTTCTAGTCATCCTCCCGTCCATCTCTTCATCCATCCGTCCGTCCACCTCATCTTTCACCATTAGTTAAATCACCCAAATATCCAAACATGCTCCCTTTCACTCTGCTCTTTCTCCAATCATCCATCCATCCA